TTTACAAGAGATGATCCCAGCAACCAGATGGAGTGGTTACAGTTAGTGCTCAGTAGCCCTGGGGACACATAAATTGCCTTGGTTAGCACCAAGTCTATCTCAGTGACACAGGGAGGGTGTGTGCATCCAACAAACTCAGCATTATGAGGATTCCAAACACTGAAATGCCTAACTACATCACAGTCATTGAGGAGGAGATTAAAAGCAATTGGAAGGAGCTTGATTTAAATCTGGCAATAATGGTCTAAAATCATGAAACAAGAGATCTTATTTCATGCCTTTTGCTTATGCATTTTTGCCATTCTTTTTGCTTATCTGGCTAAAGAACATGGCAAACACCAAAGCAGCAGTCATTACTAAACTGACTGTGTAGTGTGACCTTACAGAGCTGATGCTAGTCAACACTTAGCTAAGCCACGTATGTTTCTTGACAGCACTAAAATGTGTCAAGAGTAATACCATGTTAATAAATAACTACAGTATTCCAAGACGTCCAGACTCACTGAAATGCTGCAGCTAAAGGCTTCCAAACATTACAGAGGCATTTTTTGACTCTTATGACACACTAGTAACATATTTCACAGATTGATACTTTCTCTGGGTATGTTACCAGGTCTACCACATCTTCATCTCATTATCAGGACGTTTAACTTTGGGATTGACGAGTTAGGCTGGTTTCAGCATTATTCAACACAAAAAGCAGCATGAGCCCCCTTCTTCATTTACCACTGGTATCTTTGCAAACAGGGCATTGTTCGAGTTGTTTTACTCCATTCTAAGGCAGAGCATCCTGCCACACCTGCTCAGAGTAATTTGCTACCTGACAAAGGAGGACTGATTTGGGTAGCTGCAGCTCCTCAAACCAACAAGCCATGGCATGCAAAAGAGGCAACACACATGGGCCATTGCCACTGTCAATTTAATATTGAACAATTAATTGAATATTAATATGGTACAATATCACATGAATCCCAATTCATTCAGTTTTGCTTTCAGTGTGCCATGGATGACTAAGAATAGTAACTGAGACAAGTTCCTTACAACAAAGATCCACTGTAACGCAAAACAAAAAACCCTTCAAGTTCAGGAAAGAAGATGAGGGAAATTAACACAATCTTCATATAAATCTTCAGATAAATGAAAAAAATACAGAGTTGTGGTGGGCAAAAAACGTTTTCCCCCTGGAGTTATAAAAAGTGGTAATCCCCAAGGGGGGTGGTGTCTCTCTTGAGGTTGACCCAATCAGTGCTCCTGCAAAATACAAACATATCACATGTAGACCAGAAAAGAAGGTGATGTGGTAGTAGTTGTTGGAGAGGTGGCCATGTTCTGAGGCCACGAGGAGAAGGGGCCCAGAGCCCCACTGGGGGTTGGGCCCCTCCCAGCCCCCGGCTGGGGGGGGCTACAGGGACTTGGAACAGTGTTAGACTGCGCTAAGTATCTGTAGCTAAGAGCTGGGGGATGTTTCTCCACTGTAAGCAGCAGCAGAATCAGCGATAGAAACAGCAGTGAACAGAGGCTATGGCTGAAAGCCAAGAGATAAGAACTGAAGAAGCAGCAAAGCCGGCATTGCAGTCAAGGAAGAGAGACACAGAGAAATGTCTGATGGAGACAGAGCAGGACTAAGCTCTACAGAGAGAGAGAGAGTTTGGGTAAGAACTGAAATAAACTCCCCAAACTCCTTGGAGACCCCTCCTAGAGAGGAGGGGTGGTGGACTCCCACTTGATGGAAGTCCTAAAATGCAGCATGCACTGCAGAGAGAGAGCTGAGAAGCTCAGGCATCCTGGAGCTGGACTGGGATGGCCAAATGGAATGTGGAGGAGGACTTCGGCCCCCCCCGCTGCTGCTAGCAGTTTTGAGACAGAGCACGGGAGCTCTGCAAGGGAGTTTGAATCCCCTGAGGATAGGGACCGTCACGAAGACTCCTGCAGTTCGTGATATGACGTGGTGAAGTGAACTTTGTCTGGGTGAACACAGCCCACGGAAGAGAAAGACCCTCGCTTGGAGCTGAAGGGCCAAGAGGGGTTTGGAGACACCCCCCCATCTGTAATGAAAAGAGATCCAGCTACAGCTGCTGCATGGAGGAAGAGAGACTACTGCCCTAGAGAGACTGCTGCTCTGAGAGTGGAAAGGATCTTTCCTTTTTCCCTTCTGGACTTTTATTGAAGGGAGAAGGGATTGATCCATTGTAAATACTGATTTATCATAGGAGAGATAGTTAAGATTATGTATGTGATGTATTGTAATATTTATCTGTATAGTCACTGTAATATATTTCCCTTTCCCCCCATATTGAGTCTCATGTAGTGTCTGGAAAACCCATCTCACACTGCTCTGAGTTGGGGGGGGGGCTTGGACTCGGGAATTAGATTTTAGGGCTCTCAAACCATGACAAGGCTTCATTCAGTAGTGCATCATTACAGTGTTAGGATAACTCAGTCATTCATGAAGCACCTTTAGCAAATTAGAGGTATTTCCCTCAAAGCACAAAAAAATGCACGTGGATCTGCTTTGTCTACAGATATGATTCAATAAACACCCAGCAAGAACAGTTGTCCCTAAGTGCTCTGAGAGAACAATTAGCACTCGTCAGTTTTTTTTTCTTGTAAATTCCTGTTTTATGAGTTACAGTCTAACTGTAACTCAGGCATGTTCACTGAAAGTCTGAAATATTTGTATTTCAAGCAAGTATTGCAGCACATCTCAGAAACTGAAAATATTAATTTGAATGTTTGCAGATAGCTACTAATACTGCAACAATACTAGAAATTGATGTCAGCAAAGAAATGAATAAACCAGAAGATCAGCTTCTTTTTGTACCACGTATACTCTTTTGTCCTCAGTCTTCCTTCTCTACCTTTGACTTACACAGAAATGACAGCATGGAAATTCCAGCCTATCAATATCTACTAACAACTCTTCAGTCTGAATCATTTAAATCAGGCAATATTTTCTAAATAAAATTATAAAATTATGAAAAATATGTTGACTAATCATTACTATTCAGCAAACTCAGAGTTACTTTTAAGCTTCGGGAATTTTGAACCTATTGCACCATATATTCCTGGACAGCCTGTGAAACAAACAAGCAAACTCTATTTGCTGTACGAATATATCTGCACACAAATATAAAGAAAAATTTGTGTGTAGCATATTTGCCTAGCTCACCTGAAAAATGATAGTCCACCATTTCCGAAGTTGATCTTCCACTGAGAAGAAACAGACCTTCTGAATGCAGTTTATTATTAAGTAACATGAATAAATCACCATCACAGGTGAGGAACTGGGCACAGAAAGCATTCATGAATTCTTTAGTTTCTGTGCCACATAGCACTCTCAGCAAATGCTTAGAGTGAGGCATATATTAAATATTAATCTATGCTCTTGCCAGCACCTTGAGTAGCAGGAAGGATATTTGGCACAATCCAAAGGGGACACAACAGTTTGTTTCTTGCACATTGGCTCTATTTCAAAGCTCACATTCTCATTGTTCTACCTGGTGATTTCTTTATCCTCACAGGTGCTGAATTGCCACCAATAGGCTAACAGCCAGTGCTTTGGCCCCAAGGCCTCCATCAAGGAGTCTGGCAGAGATTCAGACAATGACAATACAATACCTGTAACAAAAAAGGAGAAATATAGAGGGTGGGTGGGTGTTTTGCATGTTTTGTTTGTTTACTTTTGTGTTTTGTTTTTTAGTACTGCAAAAAGCTTTCACTGGATTATTTTTTTTTATGAAGTGGAACCTTTTGAGTGTATTCTGGTTTTAGATGCAAAAAAGCCAAGTTGTACAGAAGCACAAGCCACAAAACCCCAAACCCAGAATAATCAATACTGTTCAATATACACCAAATTTGCTTTATTTCATGTGATTTTCATCATCCAGTCATTGTGTCTTTTAATCCAGTGTTGAATAAAATATTTATTTGAAGTTATGGAAAGAAAAAATGAATGGCTATTTTGAATTACAGTGTATAGAACACTTCAAGCAATTATTATGACAACTTACCTATTCACCTGTTCATGTGATATATCATTCTTTTTTGGGTTTACTGAACCATAATGGCAAATATCATTGAAACAGTCCAACTTGCAGAGAAATTTTTCTATATGAGTTTTTATAAATATTATCCATTTATGTAAAAGGAAAACCAAACCCCAAGATGTAAGCAGTTATTCTAATGAGAAAGAAGTACCAGGAAATTTTGGAGTTTATGATCAAGTTAACAAAATCTAAATGTTTATTAGGTAAGTCAGGTAACTCAAAGACGCATCCCCAAACGAAAGATATCTGACAATTTGAAACAGTTAAGTGTTTGTACTAAGATGGATATTTATATTTACTAAAAATACAGAATTTAAATCATGGGATACTGCACTTTAAAATAGAAAATACTCCAAATCTGGTGCACACATAGCTTTCACCATGAGTTTCAATCACAAAAATCTTGATTTGCGGGATCAGGCCACTGACATAGATCCAACAACTTAATTAAGTTAGCATAACAAAAGGATTAACAAATCTTCAGTGTGAACTATCGAATTAAAACAGGGAAAAGAGAAGCTCTTATGTCTTACTTTTTACTTCCAGTATTGGTTTTCAATGTAAATAATTCCAATGATATCTAAAGTTATTTTCAGATTATTTTGATTACTATCTAAAGAAAATAAAATGCTGCAGTTAAAGTGGATAAAATGGTATGACTTCATATACAATAAAATTTAGATGAAGCAAAGGTACTTGGCACGACAACAATTTTTCTTAGATGGCTCTATGTCTTCAAGGAAAAAAAACCCTCCAAATTCTGTATGGAGGAGATAATGTAGTAATATTAAGATGTAGGATAGTTTATTACCTAAACAGTATGTACAAATTCTAAACATGAAAATAGTGAGTAAAAGAAATCAGACTCTATTTACATTTTTTTACAAATTGTTTTTACAAGAAGTGTATTTTTTTCTCTAAATAACAAGACAAACACATAAGACCGATCTTTTGTGTATTACAGACATAAATAAATATTGACTTTAAATGACTGTTATAGAAACATAATTTCTACAGCCAATTTGGGTAACAGAGAAGTAGTTCTGTTACCGCTACTACAATATAATTAAGTAAAAAGGAAAAATTTTACATATAGAGCTCTGTTGATTACTTTGTAAATTGTACCTTACTAATATATTCAGTAGAGGTAATACAGTCGTTACATTTCATGCCCACAACTGAACAATGAGTTTTGGCATGCAAACCCATATATAATCATCAACATCTGCAGGTATTCATTTACATTTTTTAAATAAAGGGTTTTCTTTATTATTTAAAACTACATGCAACAGCTTATTAGCATTATATTCCTGGTTAAAATGCACAAGTTTGCATAACATTACTTTTAGTATTGATGTTCACAGGTACTGATCAAAAGGGTAGGAACATACTTGGCACATGGTATAAGAAAATTAATAAATAACTCAATATCACAATGACATTTACATATACACAAAGAAAAATAAAAATTTTTATGGTGTTGTACACAGAATTTAGAACTGTCTGGTTCCCTCGTGTTGTTCTACAAGGCCCAGATTTAAGAGAGTATTCAAGCAAACTTTGACATCCATGCTTGATTTGAAGCATCACTAAAGCTCATTCTTAGCTGCACAGGTTTACTTCCATTCCACTGGGGTCTTTTGTGCATATGGAAGTTTTGTCTTCTGCATACCTTCCTAAATCAGGGCCTGCTCATTTGAAACTCTCCCTGGCTCCAGTTGGGAGCATGGAAATGAAACTATTGTGGAATAAACTGACTCAGTATTAAGGTTTCTATACAGTTCTGCTAATCTCAAGGGTAAAGTTCCCATTCACATTAGCAGTGAGCATTTCTTTGACTTTGTGTGTGACCACGTCAAATATTAATGCTAATTTTATCATTGCCACACCATGTCCTTAGCTCTTGCTGAAGCCATTAAACTGAAGATGTTCAGAATTTCAGAAATCAGACTTCTTATTTTCACCTATGTGCTATATTCCTAATGAATATTCAAGATGATATGCATGGATGATAACAGCACAAGTTCTATCTTATTTTCTCCTGCTCTATTAACAACTCAAAAATGGTCAAAAAAGATATAACAAGAACAAACCATTTTCCTTCTTAAACAAAAATCACCAATAAACAAACAAACAGAAAAATCCACTTCACAAAGCAGTTAGCAAAAATAGCATAATCTTATAATTCTTCTTTAAGAAATAAACAAAATGCATCTGAAGTCAACTGACAAATCCATCAGAATCGTACATAACAAATAAAACATTAGTGTAAAGGTGCAGAGTACCTAAAAACATCCCAATATCTCTAATATAATCCCAATATTAGCTCTGTATCACACAACATCATTAGAGAAAATTAATCTTTAACTAGTGAATCAAGTAGCAAACTGCAATTCTATTGCTGAATTAAATGCCTAATGTGGCTTAGTAAATTAGGACAACATCCTGTCTGATTCAGCAAACAAGACTCTAGAATTAGGCACTAAAAACTTCAAATCTGTACTGCTAAATTAAAAAAATAATCAAGAAATCACAGTTGGGAATTTAAAATCCATTCATGAGCTTTGCTGACTTAGTACTTTTTGGTTTTGATTTGGAGGGTGATTTGAAAGGTGAATTGATAAGATCATTTGTAAAAGGAAAAAAATATTTTACATCTTAGTGGGCTCTATATAATACACTTGTTCAGTATATTTCTACTTTATCAACTTTTTTTTTTTTTGATGAATCTACTTCAAAAGGGAAAACCTCTCAATGTTCTTCAAAAGTACATTGTTACTTTGAAAAGATGAATGCTTCAGAGAGACTGGCATCAGCAAACAGTAACCATTTTGATTCATTTTGGAGGGATGAAGCTTTCCCTCAGCAACTGAGTCTAAGAGTGTGATGACTCAGGGCTCCTAAGTTCCTGTTTATATCCAATCCAGATTTGGCATCACTGTAATTAAGACCAACATTCCTGTTCCGTGCTTTATCATGTCAGTACGAATGAAATGTAATTTCATTAACATTAATCAAGTCACTGCAGATTTGATCCAGCACAACTAGAACAGACTGTGATTGAAAGGTTTAGACAGAATTCTTCAGAGAAGCCTGAGGTAATTACTTTCCCTGATCCTGCTGATCCAGCAAATACCAGGAAGATGACTTCTAGACTCATCTACGCCCTGTGCAATCCAAATGTGGAAGCAAGTGTTGCCCACCAGTCCAATTCAAATTTTATTTTCTTTACAAAGACTTATACACATGAAACATTTCCATCCTGACAAAAATCCCTCAGACTCTGGTCTTCTGCCAAAACTGAAAATAAACCTTTATTCTACAGATTTTTTTGAAGAAGTGTTCATCTGTTTATTTGCCAATGTATTTTGGGAGATGACACAATAACAGAAGAAGGAATTAAAAGCACCATAGCCTTTAACATTTTTAAATTACTGCTAAAGGCCCCTTTAACATTTTTAAATTACTGCTAAAGGCCCCTTTAACATTTTTAAATTACTGCTAAAGGCCCAAACCATATAGCAATAAAAAATTTATGGAAAACTTCTTGGTCACTAAGTGAATATCAAAAAGACAAGCAGCAAAACAGAAAGAGAATGGAAAAGAGCCCTTTTTAAAACCAAAGGTAGAAATGTAGAAAAACTGAGATGAGCAAATGATTAGAAATTAATACTGTTTCCTTCTGGTACTAATCCACATGAAACAAAAAGCTATAAACTTCAGTATAGACAAACTGAGTATTTTGTGAATATTCTACTATAACAAATATAACTCTGATCCTTGGTTTCACGTATGTATTTATTTTCTTCCACAAAACAGTTTGTTATGGAGAGAAGGAAAATCTATTTACCACTAATGTCTGAGCTCCTCTCACTGAATATCTCAGATAAATATGAAGCACAGGTGAGTCCAAAGAATTTGCTGGTAGAAAAGGTGGTCACTTTGTCAAGTTGGACTCAAGTGTCTGAGGTATGTGATGATTCAGGGAGCAGTGGAAAAGGTGCCAAAGAATGCAGGACCACTTTGAACATCCTGAACATTAAATGCTGATTACAGGTATTTGTATGGATGTTTATTGGCAGATACTTTCCACCCTCTCAATAATAAATCCAAGCAGTTTCTGTTTACTATTGAGATATGTTTCTCTGTGTGATAAATTACTCTAGACAGTTTATATTGCACAATAAGGCAATATGAATTCCCTTATGGTTAAAAAGGGCACCCTTCTGTCTAAATTTGAAAAATGCATTCAAATAAACTATAAGCCAATGTTTTCCATATGCCAGAATATTGTCACATAATTCTTTCTGTAAGCAGAACAGCAAAATAGAGCAAATATATCCATCCTTCTGTTCTAAAGTTCCACAGGGAAAAGAAATATGTGCATCAAAATTCAAAGCCAAAAAGTAGCTCTACAGCTACTTGAATAACAAATGTGCCTCAGAATTTCAGTTTCTAAGATTTTAATGTTAACTATTCAGATTTTTAACTAGAAAACTGGTGGGTTTTTTCAAGATAATATTATATCCTGAAATATTATATATCAAAAAAATGTAAACTGGATTTTAAAAGTCATTCTTCCAGGACGTATCAATTACTTGCATTCATTGCCATCAACTTTAAACAATTATATTAATCACCATTTGTTTCTATACAATGGTATATCTACCCTGTATATCCTTCAGCTATTAACTATATTAATAGAAGATCTATGTGATAGAACATTACCACTTCAGACCAGACGGATATACAAATGTATCATTATCCTCCTCCACGGTGACACTGCAATTATTAAATACTGGATACTTTAGGGTTACTGCTACTGGTATTTATTTTCCTCATGTCCTTATTTCAGACATATGAAGATCTTATTTAATAGCAAAATACAATAGGGCTTAAACTGGTGACAGGCAGGGCTTTAAGTAAAACAGATAATTTAAATCCACTGATGAGAAGCTGGCCTCTTTCAAAATTATGTATAGATCACAGGACTACCTTGCAAATATTAACATTGAATTCACTAAGAGAAAAAGCTGTATACACTGCACTGTTTCAACCTACTTTAAACACAGAATATGAAAACATTATAATAAACACACTTCTAATTTTCTCACGGGTGTTGAGATGGATGCAATCTTCAGTTTGTTGAACCGTGGTGGTAATGAAGTGATACTTGCTGTATGATTCATCCTTGTCATGGTGCAAATATAATTTTTCATGAATAAACTACAGAGAAGTAGATATGGTCGTACAGGATGGTCACTTCCATTGGAAAACTGGGTTCATTGCTATTACAGATATGCCTTTTCCCAGACCTCATTTGGGAGCTCAGTTTTTTCTGCTCAGTTATTTGTATCTGAAACAGCCTAATATTTCTCAGGGGGTGGCTTGTAGTGATGTGCATGATGTTGCTTCAGATGAGGTCCTAAACAAAAAGAACAGGAAAATATGCACATATCAAGCCCTGTATATGTAATGCCAACATTTATCCATACTTAAAAGGCTTTGTGAGACCTTCAGTTTGCAGTCCTTCAGCTTGTAAGTGAAATACCTGTGCTGACAACTGTGTGCATGTTCAGTCCAGAGAACTTTAGTGGGGCTGTGAAAGGACAGAAACATTCAAGCAGATGAGTCTTGAACTAATTAATTACATTTTTTACTTGGCTTCTCAACACTGAGCTGCACTTTTCAGAAACATATGAAGTGCTGGAAATGGCCATTAAGAGATTTGCACTGCTTTAGAAATATGATCAGGCTCTAGCCATGTTGTACTGAGCAAACCCAGAAAAATCTAATCTTGAAAGCTAAGGAATGCCAGGCCTAGGCAGCACCTGGAGGACAGACCAACTTTGAATCCCAACTGCTACAAGCATAAGCCAAAGGCGAGCTCTGATCCCCAGGGACGTGTGCATTTATCAGACCAAAAATACCCCAGGCCAGCCCGGCAGCTCTGGTGACTCCAGATAACCTCGAGCTGATCACACACCCCCGCGACCACGACGACCCATTCAAACACCTGCCCTGTGATTCTGTGAACGAGCTGTGGTTGAATGAATGGCAAATGGTCAGACCACAGAAACTGAGTGAGAGAAAGACTACATTTGCTTCCATCATTGCTGATGGATAGTTGTGGGGCAAAAAAAAGCCAGTATTTTCCCCACATCTTAAGTTTATGGAATGCTACTGGAATCAATAAAGACTCTAAGACTTGAAAATCTGTTTACATGTGGAGGATTGAAGTTTTTGCAACGTCACCACATGTCAGAACAGTGTAGTACTTACTGTGGGGTGAAAACGGAGGAAGGTCAGGTGTTCGGAACGATTTAATCGTAGCTGGCCCTTCCCCACCAGTCGTCAGCACTTGAACTTCCAAGCGGTACAGCATGGATGGCCTCAGATTGGGCACAGTGAGTACGTAATGATCCTAAAATTAAATAAATCGCTTTAATTCTCAGAGCATCTAAAAATAAAACATGGTTGCTCTACTCACACACATCAGTGGTTTAAACAGGTTCTATCACTCTCAGCACCCACAAATCACTTTCTTAGAATTCTGTTAAAAAGATTTAACATATGCATCACGTTGTTGAGAGGGTTTGTTCTGAATTTTTTGCTTGCCATTCCCTTTGAACAGACTCTTTCACCATAATATTATAGTTTCATGTCTGGAAGGTCCAAATTGTTCCAGAGATTGTTGGGGAAAGTGGACAGTGTGCTCACCACTAAAAGATGAATAAGAATGTAACTTCCAAACATTCTTTGTAACAAACATGTTCATTACATAAACTTGTTTTTATTTTGGATCTGCATATGAATTCTACTAATTGGTAATTTAATTAGTGGCTGGCCTGAAGCCTCTTCTGTGGCTAGTGAAAAAAAGAGTGATCACACTGATTTCAGATTTGTCCCAATTACGTCACAAGAATTTGTCTTTTTAAGGCCATTTCTGGCATGATGGACTCACTTTTCACTACTGCATACCTTTCGTGGTCAATTAGACCTGTGCAAAATTTCAGAATAATTTCATAGAATGTCTCAGATGGCTAAAGACTGACGGGTATTACAGAATCAGAAGCTATTCATCTAAATCAAAATCTAAACTATGAATCAAAACATCACCTGTAGTGAGCTGTTAGAAATCACTCATCTTATTCCAAGCTGAAAAGGCCCAGTCCCAGGAAGGGGACAGTTGGAGCAGTGAAGCCAGACAGTGCGGGCACAGTGTGCTCCTGTGACCTGCCAGGCTGGGCTGGCCAGGAATTTGCAGGACAAGTTATTCTGGTTGGCACTGTACCTGCACCATGTGGGGAAACCAAAGTGAGCCATGGGAATAACTGATAATTTGCTGTTACTGCCAGAGCAGAAAGTAAAGGGGAAAGGACAGAGAGAAAAAGTGGGGGGAAATGTGTAGTTTTACTGGCAAATTAGCATGTATTCTGAGAGGCGACTGCCATTAATAGACCTTGTTGAAGCCTGTTCCACCTCGTATAAATACTGAATGGGTAAGAAAAAGAGAGAAGAGTGCATACATTGCACTCATACACACTGCTCATTCAGGTGCTCCTCCAGCAGTCAAAACCTGTGCATTTCAGTCCTGGTTGTGTAAATGCTACATTTTCAGTCAGAATGAATGACCATCACCAAAAATACCCTACATTTTGGTGCTTTCTGAGAGGTAGAAAATACTGTTTCAACTCAAAACAGTTTTCTGCAAGTTAACCGTGTGCCATAAATAGACAGATAGACATAGTGATAGATAATTAAAGGAATCTCCAGGCTCTCCAGTAGTGAAACTAGAGGCAAACAGACAAAAAACTGAAACCCAACACAATGAAAAGGAATGTTTTAAATAAAACTTCATATATATTTCAGATCTAACTGAATCAAAAGCCTACGAAAAGGAACAGAAAGTCTAAATAAAACATACACCTGCTCCTAAAAAACAAAGATGAAAACCAAAGTGAAAATTAACATCTCATGGTCGTTTTACTCCGAGAGCTGGCAGTAGAGTTTGAATGAAGGTCTCTTCACCTGCCTTTGCCAGAGGAGGAACTTAAATAGCAAAGGCCATCTTGAAGAAAATAGGGGGAAGAATTAAAATTGTTAATGCTTTGACACTGTCAAAAAACAGTGAAATCTACTTCTTAAAATTATTTGTCCATCAGATAATGGTGCATATTGGCAGAGGGGGAAGTGATTTTTATTTTTCTTAGAGTAATGAGTGACTCAAAGGAAGAGAAAATTCTTTTAAATTCATCAACAAGGACACCAAATAATTAGTAAAACTGACCAAGTTGAACAGCTTGATCATGAAAAGAAAATAAAAACTACCTATTGCTACACAGATGATCTCTTCCTCCTTAGAGGCACTTGTCAGACGACAACTGCCAATTTGAAAATTGGGCACACCAAAATGTTTGACTTGTCATCAAGAAGAGTAGCTATACTTTGTATCTCCACCAAGGAGGAAAAATTAAGCACTTCCTGCTCCAACTTGCTTGTAGAGCCAGAGTGTTTGACATCTGTGTCACCACTAAACACTAAAAATGATCCACATACACACACACACACTTATGAAGCCACTAGCAAAAGGTAACAAACAACTTACCGCTGGCAGTATCTGTGACTGCGAAATGATGCTGTTGGGTAAACTGTTCTGCCGGCTTTCTGTAGTCACTTCTGCCCAAGTGACTTGAAACCCTGTCATGGGCTGGTGAAGGTCTGCCTTAGATATCTTCCAGGAAAAATGACCAGTGATGTTACCTTCCTGAACAATGAAAGATGCAGATAGATTCTCGGGTTTGGCCAACACTTTGGGTAGAACTGGCACTACAAATTTGGAAAGCAAAAAAGATAAGCTAAACTTTGAGAGATAATCTTCAATAACATTCACTTACTTTCACAAATCAAGGTCAGCCAGAGATCTCTTTTTGGTGTTTTTAATACTGACAGGATCCAGTCAGCTTTCTGGCATCACATTTTCAGTGTTAACCAAAGCCTATCTTTGATAAATTCCACTGTCATTTTGGGCCAAATTCAAACTTCATATCAAATGCTATCAGCTGCAGGTACAGCAAGGAAAGCTTATGGCATGTAAAGATCTAAGTGCCTCATTCACAGGCAGCCATCCTCCTGCTCCTCATATTTCAGAATACCTGAGCTCCAACTGAGTGTTGGGACGACAAGAAAACCCATAGGATAGCACAGAATTCCATAATTCAACCAAAAAGTAAAATTCATGCTCTAAAACTGTAGTACAAGTTAATAGCAGCACTCTGACTATTGGAAAGATATACCTGAGTTGTAGCTGCCCAGGAAGGTTGTACTGCTGGAAATTGTCAGGAGGTGTGGTAAGGAAATGGCAGTGGTGGCCAGCAGGACTCTGGGTGACTCATGGAGCATGGGGGTACCCTTGGGAACAGTAAGGGCTCAACATAATGGGGCTACCCTCTAACCAAAGAGAAAGGTATCCAGTCTTGGCAGTGCATAGCCATAGCTGACCTGACCTAGGGCTAGCTGACTCCAGAAGTCCTCTCCAACCAATATCTCCATAATTCTGCAATTTCCATAACCCTCTAGCTATACATTGTGATAATGTCATAAAAGGTATGAATGCCCGTATTTGTTATTTGAGAGCAGAATTAACCTTAACAAAAACAAACTGAAAAAGCAGCTTATATCAGCACCAAAATATTGAAATGATAGGTCATGCCAGCATAACTATGTTTACAATTATCATCCATCATTACAATACATATAACTGGGAAACTGTTATTCCTTACAAAAATAAAAACTGTGTCATAACAAATGTCATCAAATATTTATTAAAATATCCAATAAAATTACACTAAATTGACAAAACAATAATATACAAGCCCAAATCAATACTGCTCTGTATTTCAGTTGATTTTTCACATAAGCATTGGTTACATTTCTATTTGTTCTGAATCTTTCATTTCCTGTTTTAGAATTGCTTTTAAAGACTCTCTTTTGGTGATTATAAATGCATTTGGAACTATTTGACTAGTTCTCCAGATTATGCCTTACCTCCTTCAGTAGGACAATTAATGTGCTTGTGCTTCTTTTCTTTAAATGCAGAGCAAGGGGGGGTAACAAAGAAAGTGCTCTCAGCCTTAAAACGCCCTTTAGATTTTGCAGGCAGAACAGTTACTTTGTATTTGCATGAAAATGACAGGTCCTTCAGAATAATGTAGTTTTCCTACAATAAGAAAAACAAAAAAATCACATGCTGGAAATAGATCTCTAGGGAAAAAAAAAAACAGGAAGAAGAAATTGAGGAATAAGACTGGCAAAAGATGAAAACTTTTCTCCAAAATAATATTTTCCTGGTATGCTTAACACATGCCAACGTGGTTTTTACTTAGGGAAGAAAGCAAACATTGCCAATGTTATGATTATTTTCAGTAGTAAAGTATATTAGCATGGTATTTGAATATGTCCTTCAATTCTACACAGTTCCTTTGCCATGCTGCATCAAAGCAACTGGCTTCTAATATTTAGAACAGTCTCTCTGAGTGATGGCAGTGGGGGTAGCAATGTGAGATATAAATGCTAATTGAATTAAATAAATGTAAGTTAAGCTGCTGTAAATGACAGGCTTCATCTATGTTTAACTTTTTAAAAGCACGTTCAAAGTTCAGCATGGCACTATGGATGCATTTTTTTCCACTTCAGTACATTAACTACTTCTATATTCTTATCAGGAAGAAAAGCTCCACAGCTAAACTACAAACCACAAGTCTCCGTTTAAGGACATGAGCGGAGGAGAAAACCCTACACAAAGTGTAAGTGTCCTGACAAATTCTTACGGTTCTTTGAAGTACTTTTGAAAATCACAGTCTGAAAACTTTAGCACAAATCATATACAGGAAAAAAAAAATGCTGCTTTGGTTGGATTTTTTCCTGGGAAAATGTCCAATAATACCTTACTGGCTAAGGTCAAAAGACTTTCAACTACCTTTTAAGTCTTTAATTCCCTTCAGAATGACTAATTTCCCGTGCTCTTCTGCATAAGTCCCTGTTTTTTTTCTAATTACAAACTGGATTTGCATCTAACCTTCACCTGGGAGGTCATTTTTGATGGGACATAGGGATCAGGCTGAGAATGGACTTGACTCCCTGCCTTCCTCCTGCCGGGAGAGTGCTCCAACAGGCTTCATGTCTCCTTAAAATTGTGACAGGGCTATTTTTATTTATTGTGGCAAGGCCTAAACGCTCAACACTGAAAGCTTAAGGGTTTTACCCTCCTTGACCTATACATACCCAGTACTAAACCTTTTGTAGTATCCACCCTCTTCTGTTTGCTTTCAATTATTTTTTCCTCAAAAGAAACAGCTTCCCAAAGTAGTTTGGATGAAATACCACAAAATGATTGAAAGGAAATAAATTAATTAATCCCACAATGCATTTGGACAGATGTATGAACAGTCTTTCCTGACCTCTAGTGGAAATAAACTTCTTAAATGTTAACGTTCTCTTATCTCCAATGTGCATATCTCGAAATACTGGGAATGAACATCATAACATTACACCATTTTTTAAATCCACCTCTAATATCTGCTATGCTAACCCCATGAAGCATTAAGTATTATGAGCTATCAGCACCCTGCGTGAGAAATTATGTCTTTTGATTTACTCTACTTTTACATGTCATTAACTCCCCATAACTGATGTGGTAGGATAGATCAGGGTAAGAAGGAAAGGTGAACTCTGATTTTGTCCACTCCCCATAACCCACTAAATCAACTGTGATGCACCAATCACATTATTATGTTGTTCAAATAATGTGTTACAGAAACACATAACACTAGATTGCCAACAAATTGAGAACGAAGAACTGCCATGCAATATATATTTGGGCTGACATGTACTTACATGGAGCTTTTCTTCTTATCTGATATCTGCCTGACTTCCAGATTTAATGTCTAATATTTCTCACCTACAGTCCTTTTTTTCTTATATCTATTATTCTCCCCAGGGTTGTGAAACTCACCTGCATCTCTAAAAGAAAACCTAGTTTATCAATTACTATTATTACTGTTCAGTATTTGCATTGTGCTAGAGTCCTACATTACTAATTTCAGATAAAGCTCCATATTTATTGCTGTAGAAATGCATAAGTACTTAGTTAAGAAGATTGCCAGGTCTCATTTTCTGAATAACAACAACAAAAAATTTTAGCCTTGTGTGGATTTAAAAAAACAGACAACCCAAAACAGTCTAGATGCACAATTTTTATCTTTTGCCAAGGAGGAACATAAAAAGGAAAGATCCTTACTTATCTGTGAAGCAAGGTATTAAGCATACTGTGTTATGATACAGAACCATCCTTTCTCATGCTGCTTAGAAGCTATTCAGAGTCAAGCAGAAGGCTGAATGGAGACTTACATAAGTCAGTTCTGTTACTTTCCTAAGTCCTTTGGTATCATTGTGTGCACAGGACTCCAGTAACCAGTGGACTTGGAATTGATTCATGCTGATATCTAAATGATATAAAAAGAGAGGAAAAGACATATATTATAAATATCCTTTCACCATTGCAACTTTTCTAGCTTCCCTGGATGAATATAGAAGGAGTTGTAAGTATGGTACATCCTCACCTGTACCTAAGAAACCTTTATATAATGGAGAAAATATTATATACCAAAGTAATTTAAACTTTGTATCAGCTAATGGAGATAAATTTAAAAAACAGTGAAATGGCATTTTCAGATATGTTAGCATATACTGCTTACATTTGCTTTAAAAATCAAGAATTTAAACTGAGCATTAAAAGAATAATCTCAATGCTACTACTTCTAATCATCCTGCAAATAATGGGAATGACTTTGTGACAACTGCCTGACTCTATATTATTAGAGCATTGCAATACTGCTGCCTGGCACTGCTTGAAAAATCTGTGCCTGAAGATATGCAAAAATGCCTGTAAATCCCTGAGTTTTCACCTTTCAGAATACACCACAAAACTTGTTCAGTATCTGTCAAAATAAAATTCTAGTCTTGACTCTTAGGACTAATACTGAAGGCTTGAGTTTACTCCCATTTAAATCAATGCCAAAACTTGCCGCAGTATCAATAGGTTAAGCTTTCAACTTATTTCCAGTTCTTCTAGCTTTTTGTCTAATAATGCTTGAATAAGGAAGCAAAACAAAGAGCAATAAAGAATTTAACAAAAGAAGAAAAACTCATTAGGTAGTGCAAATAGTTTCTGACATTTTTCTGGATTTCATTCTCTATCTTTATACAGGGGATGCAAAATTATCTGTTATTAATTAGCTTGGTATGACATAGCCACTAATGCCAAGTGCCTGATTGTAGGTTTCAGGAGGGAAAACAAATAACTTTGACGCCTTAAGGGCTGATCTGGCATTAGACTGCTATGAGCAATTTGAATGCAGAAGGGAAAGATTGTAAACTACAGAGAAAATAACTAGTGTATGAAACTAGCTGAAATGGCTCATTGAAATAGATTTTTGTAGTAGCTGCCTTCATAACAACAGGTATGCTAATTATGTGTGTGATTTCTTTAGAAACAGTATTTCTTTCAAAAAGAAATCTATAAAAAATAATGTCCTGCTTTGTGATTGTTCCCTCCCACTAAAATAAATAAAGAAATGGATGTGCTTTTCTTGTCTCTTTAGTGCTGGGCCTTCCCACTTGATGTGTCTATTGGATGGAGGCACAAACTCACAGTGCATTTCCAAGCTGGTTTCATCTGATTTTATCTCTTCCAGTTCACTCAGCTATTGTCCATCACCCTCTAGATGATCCTTAAGGTCCCTTCTGAACCTAACCATTCTATGGTTCTATGATTATTTTAAACTACCTGCATGGGTGGGCTGCTCTTTGCAAAGCTAGAAAATGGCTATTTTCATTTGTAATAATTTTCACTTGCAATCTATAAATAAATCACTCTCTTTTTGGTAGAGATTTATCCAAGCCTTGTAATTGCCCATCGATCAAGAACAGGATAAAATACATATCTGAAGTAGGTTACTGAATATAACTACATGGGTAACTGCGGAAAGACAAATTCCAAGCATCAAGACCTTACAACAGCTCAGCATTCAGATATATTGCTGCAGAAATTTACTAGGCTTCTGTTCCGAAAAGTAATTCAAGATAGAATCAGAGAATCATATAACTGTTTGGGTTGGAAGGGACTTTAAGGATCATCTATTTCCAACTCCCCTGCCACGTGCAGGGACACCTCCCACTAGACCAGGTTGCTCAATGACCCCATCCCACCTGGCCTTGAACACTGCCAGGGACAGGAAAAAATATTTGTTATTTTCAGCTACTGCCACAGCAGAATTCTGTTTGATTATGTGGCAGGTCCATTTCCATTCATTATGTGAGCTTCTGATCTCAGGTGGCTCTTTTCTTCCTTTCTACTTTTCCTTTTCTGCATTAGCAAACCCTTAGTTGACCATTTGTAAACAGCTGTGGTTTCTGATAACTTCTCTATTTGAGACAAAAAATCAGAAATACATTAAAAAAATCCTATCAACTGTAAATTTGTAATTTGTACTGTAAATGTAGGATGAAGGTTTTCAATAAACAATTTCAGAATTTTATTTGAACAAACAGATCTTAGATTTGATAGTGCTCACATCTAGTATTCTGATAACAACCTATACTGAAAATAGAGGATTTTTTTTTCTTTTCGGTGAGTATGCAATTAAAAGTTATCTGAAAAAGGTTTTTGCATACATATATAAGTATATCAGCTGTTATAAACTGGAAGGCATCATGACAGCTGGAGCTGATGCTTAACTGGTGCTAAGTTTATCCAAAACATTTCATTAGAACAGGGCTTTATGACTTCCCTGAACTTTTACTTTCAAGATTAAAACTCCTTTGATTCTCACTTCCACCTTTATAATGTCTGTTATCTAAAAAACGTGAAAATACACAGGAAGCCGGAAAAACTGAAAATGTATGTGCATGCATGTAGTATGCATATTAAATGACAAAATTGTTTTAGACATTATCTTTAATATTTTTAAAAGGAAAAGGAGACAAAATGCATGGAAGTATCGGAAAGGCCACAATGAGAGAATTTAAAAAAATGATGAAAATATCCACTTGTTTTTTAAAGGTGCTCATACAGCTCATGGCTCTCAAGTTTTATGAAACACTATATAGCTGATTTTGTATTTACAACACACACAAAAGAAAAGCTTCTCCCAGCCTTCCTTTCAGTAATATACTCCTAGTGAGATCACTACTATAATTTTACTTAGATTTTTTGTTTTAGTTGTCTGTTACAAACTCAGGGATAGGTACTGGAAAAGCCATTCAAGCTGCAGTCTAGACGAATGCCAGCCACTGCCACCAAATTAAGTCCAGCTAAAATTAATACACTGAGCAAAGAGCCACATCTTTTTCTGAAAAGTCATTTGAGTAGTTAATATTAACAGAATATTCATTACCTAACAGGACTTATTTTGGACAGTTTTACAAGGAAGCTCTGCTATCCCTTCTAGAATAGGTACATAACACTGACAAGAAACTGCCAGACTCCTTCAGTCTGCTTCCCTGATATTTCAGATGTCACAGTATAAGGCCTTTTTGTATATAATCAATCTCCTTCTTACTAGTTTGGAATTTTCTTGATTCTATACTTCCAATTAGCAGTCTTTATAAAGCTTGGTAACTTCACTGTTCTCATGGTTAGAAAGTCTATAATTTGCCATTAAAAAAGTGATGCTTGCACAAACAGCAAGCATTTGTATTTTCCAGAACTCAAAATATTTGTATAGAAACACTGAACGTGAAGTACATAATAAGTACAAGCACTCATCTGAGCAGCTCTAAGCTTGTGAAATTAGTCAACAGACTTAAGTAAGAACAGCAGAAAGCTTATTCAAATAATTACTTTTATTTTAAATTTATGTAAAGTGGGAAAAAAAAAAAAAAGACAATCCAGGACAATTACTTTGAAAATCTCTTAATGATAATGACATGGAAATGATCTCCAGCTGCCCAAGCTAAAGATTTTTAGATCTATAAGACAGTTGCACATAACTCATCTTTTCAGATTAATAGTTGCTGCTAATTATTTTGATTGTGATTTTTAAAGTAGATTTTCTAAAGTATAAAATGAGTTCCTAGGCTTAAGAAAACATTTCTATACAAACATCACAAGCACTTACCTCTTTTGCTCAACAAAGGCATGCAGCTAACTTTGTTGGACAGAAATCTTAAATCCTAATTAGAAACGTATGGATCAGGGGATGCTCTAATGCATGTGGTTTTTTTTAATTTGACGAAAACTGTCTTTATTTTCACAAGAATCTCCACAAAACTCTCTATCAATTGTGTTTAGAAAGATATTCTTCACTAAATTTTCTGTTTACTCCCCCTCCCCAATTTAAACTCTTTAGTTCCATTTTAATAAAAATAAAACAATACATTTAAAATTTTTGTGGGTGGAAAATGTGCATTTATTCTGTAGCCTCAAGCTGTAAAAATAGCTCAAAATCCTGTTAATGCCAATGCCTAATACATCTGTTCTCCACTTGGAAAAGTTCAGGTTATTATGCACAATTTAAGCATCTTAAATTGATAACTACCAAGTACTGGAACAAAGCCTAAGCCATGGCTGCACGATGGTTACTAGGAATACCCTAGGCCTACATTCTACACTTGCTAAATCTCATAATCTCCCAGAATTTAAAGCTCTGAGAATCATTCAGAAAAATAATCCAACACAATTCCAGGTAACTGCAACTTTTCCTAGATGGAATTTCTGGTTTAAATGGTTCTACAGTCTATTGAAAATAAACTAAATTTTAAACATGATCTCTTTCCCTCATCTTTGCCAACATTTTCCACATTTCTGTTTTGTACATATACATTACTGCCAGCCATATGAATAATTTCTTCTAATGTGGTTTCTTTTTTTTTACCATGCTACTGCAAACAGCTACTTTCTCAGCCTCAAATACTTTATTTGCTTTATATTGCAATTACTGTACAGGAGGGTGCCAACTTCACAGTCACGAGGAACTGAAGTCTGTTTTGTAGCTAAAAAACTGGCATAGCATGGGCATAACAGCAGTGAAATTTGTTCATGCAGCCCAACACCACCAATATGGACGTACTGTCAGTCCAGGAGACCAGGTAAACAGATTTAAGAGGTATTTATGTCTTTATATTCCTGTGATCCACAGCAAGAAGATTGCAACAGACTGTTTTGAGAACTGCAGCTGGTTTGCTGGAGGTCCTTAGGCAAAGCACTTCATGGCTCCTTACCTCTGTTCCACCCCGTCAAGCGGTGATAATGATAACGGTGTATGTCGTAAAAGTATTTCAGCTCTTGTAAATTATTCTGATGTATGTCTCTACCATTTGGTACAAAAATGCCAATTAATACCAGCTGTGACAGCACTATTATGCAGGCACCAAATTACAAAAACTTATTAGAAAAGGATTTGCTGGAAAACAAGATTTCATAGCAGATACGTTCAACAACAGC